CCTTCAAGAGTGAAGAGAGACATTTTTCTCCTTCTGTAATACTAGAAGTTGGAATCATCCCATGAAGCTAACTGGTGGAAGGTTTAAGACAGATCAAAGGAAATACATCTTCACAGAATATGCAGTGAAACTAAGGAATCTGCTGCCATGGGAAGTGGTGACGGCTGCTAACTGGGGTGGTATTAAAGGGGGACTGGACGGACTCACGGAGGAGGAGGAGGAGGAGGAGGAGGAGGAGGCAGCTATCTGTCTCTACTGGCCTTGCTGGCTATGGGCTACCTCCTTTACCAGAGGTGGCCTGCCTGCGTACCCCAGCTGCTGAGGAGCTTGGGCAGGTGGAGGTCTTGCACCCATCCTGCTGGAAAGATCCAGTGGGCAGCTGGTTTGCCACCATGTGCACAGAGTTCTGGACCGGATGGACTATTGATCCGATCCAGCATGACCTTTTTTATGTTCTTAAAGGATGCACAGACATGGTGTTCATTCCTAGCTCAAAAAAATATGAATTATCAAGCCACAGACGAACCAGCAAACACAGGACAAGTAAAGCACGTGCTGCTATAGAATGGATGCAGTTTTTGTTGATACTGGTGAAGTCCTCACTATGAATATGCATTCCTGAATTTAATCCCTAACTTCCACCGGATTTGTTCAGTTATCAGTTCAGACACAAAACCAGGAAATATTGGGTCATCATAAAGAGCTGTGCCAAAGAACATTTAATTTCTTCCGTATAGAGCAAGCGCATTCCAAACAGTTCCAACAACAGTGACACAAAGTCTATGCAAATCACATGCATCACTCCTGTAAGCAAATCTCATTAAATGACAAACCCAGAAGAGTGTGTTTTCTTAGTGTCTAAAATCCTCAGGCATTGTAGTGGTGCTAAGTTTTGTTACCGACTTCAGAGGGGTTTGGGTGTGTGTGTGTGGGGGCGGGGGGGGGGGGAGGAACAGAGATCTAATTCTTCATATTAAAAGCAACACTAGCAGCCTTTTCAAAGGTGAACTGTGCAAAACCCTCTTTCTATTTGTTAAAGGCAACTTGACTTCTCTTTCAATACTCCCCTTAAAGGCATCCTCCCCTTGCCCCTTTAAGCTCCTGCACCATGATTCCAAAGAGTTTAATTGAAGAGATCTGGCAGTGTTTTCTATTTAACAAAGACATCCTTTGATTCAACAGTTCATTAGTCAGTGGAGTTAAATAAGTGCTAAGAAACAAAAAACAAAGACCTGCTCAGTTTTCCTCTCTTGAGATGTCATAATCTATCACCAACAGACAAGACCTGAATCTTTAACATGGATATATAAAGTAGAAAAACACCTTTGACAAACAAAGAAGCCAAACAAAACAAACAAAAATGCCTATTTATCTTCTCCTTTCTTAGAACGTAACTTTCTTGGGGCTGCTGTCACCTTCAGTTCCCCCTCTCTTCTCAAACTGTACAACTAGGATTTCAGTGTTTCCAATTCCTTTAGAAACAACTGGTTTATAATTTAAATCATTGCTATTTTTTAAACTCAGGTTATGAGTAAAGGACATGGTAAGGTTAGGAGAACAGAAAAAAAAGATTAAACAAGATGTTGCAGTCACTCAGAGCACTGTTACTAACTCGCAGAAGAATTCTAATTGCGCTTAAGTCAATGATAACAGGGGTAACAGGACTGTTTTGCACAGAAAATTTGCTGCTCACTATTCAAGCAAGTCACAGCCAAAGCCAGTTCTCTGATTACGCACAGGGTTCAAAGCACCTAAGAATGTACACTGGGATTAATGGACGAGCACTGCATCTTTTGTTAATTCTGTCCTTTACCTAAAAGTGTACAGTGTACAGGATCCCATCTGCAGAATATCTGAAATCACGCCCACTGAATGCAGAGGATGGAGGACATCTGCTGATGAACATCTCCGAGAGGAAAACAGGGTGCTGCTTCAGCCTTCAGCAGGAGGAATACCCTGGTCACAGCAAAGATTTCTTTGAAACAACTACTTACACAAAGGCGCTTAAACAGTTGTTTCAAAATAACACGTTCTTATTTCACTTTTGGGTCACAATTTATTCCATACCTTTAGCCAACTTAAGAGAGTACTTCCCGCCCCTAATTCCAACCAAAGGCGAAGTGGAAAGCTGGACGACTTTCCATTAGTTGCAGTAAATAGCATCTGTAAGTCAGCCTGAGGCCTTTTCCCTGAGCAAATTCCATCGGGGCCAGCCAATCTGCAGCTGGCAGAATTAAGAGAGGAGACAGTGAGCGCCCATTAATCAGCCTACCTGGACCCGAGCATCCTTCAGTTCCTCCAGTATCAATCACACTCTATCCTTCCTGTGAGAAAAATGCCCCAAACTGGGTTGTGGCATTTCCTGCTTATCAAAGAGAGACAAGGTGTTTTAAGAAAATCTAGTCTGTATTTTCCCATTTATCTCAATGGAGTAGTCGAGTTAGCCAATATCTCTCTCTGAGAAAAATAAAAATGCTCATACCAGGCAGGTAAAAACCCAGTCACAACAGTTCATTCCATCGACCTAGCTCTGCGAAACATGATCTAAGTAGATGCTGCTTCTGATTTGTTTTGATTGTTAAGGAGATGGGGATCTCTGTGGACAGAACATCTGAGTACATTGCCAAAACGTATATTTTACTGGTGCGTGGATTCCCCACCCCCACCCCAATGACTTACTTTTAATTATTCTTAAATGGCAAGTCAGACAAGTGGACTTTCCAGCCCAGCGCTGCCCGTACTGCCAGAGGGAGGCACACGCTGGTCTCAGTCCCCAGGTGCTTGTGCTTGGTGTCTCCCAGGAGGGCAAAGAGAAGAAGAGAATGGCTCCGTCCATCTGTCAGCTGCAGGGAGCTTGTTTCACCCTCCCATTCCAGAAAAGATGCTCATTTCAGAGGAACAGCTGATTAGGGATTGGAGGGCAGCACATTCTGGCCACAGGTAAGTGGCACCCCTTCTACCGCGGAAAGTATCATGGAAATATGGAGGCTGGTTTGGCCCCTGACGTGGCCAGAGGAGCTGCTGGCTTTCCCCTCTCTTCCCTCCCCATCGCCCGTGTCTATTAGATTGTGAACCTGGAAGAAAGGACCACACTGTCTTTTAATCTTTGTACTGTCAGGCACTGTGTTCACGTTGCTGTTGTTTAAATAAACAAACAAATCCACTGATCACCAATAGGCCCCTTTGATTCCAGACAAGCCTGGCCTCCCTCGAAAAGCCACGGATAAACCTTCCACTTCTGCAGGCAAAGCGCACACCTATTCGTTTCTTTAGAGTTGTCTATACTGAAAAGTGTAAATGCATCCAAATTCCATCATTCGTCAGCACGTTCCCACCGATCCAAATGATCCCTGTCCAAACAGCATTTCCTTTCTCATTTCCAGCTTTGGCCACCTATTGGTTCACAAGGTCTAAACAAAGTGGGATAGACTCCAGAACAAAACTTCTGACCGGATCCTGGGAACCCTGCTGCTGACACAGCTCCTCAGTCATTCAGGAACAAGCCTCACACTATGACTGAGCATCATTACTGTAAGACACCCGGGGATTTTGTGGCCGCCAGAACGCCTCCGGCTCCATTTGGCTGGGCAGTGATTTTATCAGAGATAAACTGTACCAAAGAGAGTTCCGGGAATCCAGAGCTAGGGTTTAGCATTTAGCCACTGGATTGAGGCACAGTGAGCTGCAGGAAGGACCTCAGTAGAAGGTCTGAGGGAGAGATGTTCAAAATGTGGAGGGTGCTGAGGAAGGTTAAAAGTAGCAGGGCGCCCTGGGAATGGGGAAAGTGCTGAACCTTTTGAAGCAAGGGCTAAGGGACAGCTTGGAACAAAAGGATAAGGCGGAAGATGGATGGGAGAGGTTGCAGTTACAGCCTGCCGCCTCCAGTTCGTCCTGCTGGCACAATCCTGCGATCCAGTCACAAGCTGAAGATGGGGCGGAAGAACCAGCAAAGCTCAGCCTCATTGACATTCTCTGATTTCTACCACAAAGCGCGTTTCCTCAAAGGGATGCCCAGTGAATTCAGCGGGGCTCGCTCTTAACTGAGTGTGCGTGCGGCTGCAACTGCCACCAACCAGTCCGAAAACACGAATGCTACTTCATAAACTGAATAATCTTTGGCCCTGAGTAGGGGAACAGATTAATCATTAAAAAATCAATTCAGAGTGCAAGATCCCGAATAACAGAATTAACATATTGCTTAACTTCACCTAATTTTTGGAAGGTGTAGCCTTTGATCACATCCAGCAATACTAGAACAATTTCCCAGTTACCTTTTTTTCATCTTCTTCTCTTTAAAGGGTAGGCACTTGAATACCTATCTGATATCGACAGAAACCCTGTCATCTGAAATGTCTTAATTGTCATATCTAGTCATGTAAATCAGACAAGTCATACGAACATGACAGTTGTTGCTATAGCAATACATCTCAAACGATTTTTGTAAGAACAAAAAATCCCCATTGCAAAGTGCACAGCTTAGTTATCAGATCATCAGGAAAATCAACCACAGGGTTTTTTTTCTTTTCTTTTTAGATCCAGGACATGCTTTCAAAGAAATCAGGTACTTTCTAGATGGGTGGGAAACACCCTATATATCAGCTGCATGCAATGTGCACCATCTAAAACTGCTGTTAGTGAGTAAAACTCCCTGATCTAGCAAAGGAAGAGATGAAGCATCCAGCTGCGGAACTGAGGATGCTTCCAAACACAGCTGGGTAAAACTCGCCACTGTTGGAAAAGGCATGGCCGACTCTCCGCGATTCTTTCAAAGCCGGGCCGACTCCGCGGAGGGCTTCGGCGGGAGCGGCAGTCCCCGTGGGGTCCGCGACCCTCTGAGCTCGCAAGCAAGCGTGAGCCCAAGGGCTGGCGGCGGAGGCACGAGCGAGGCACCGGCGGCCGCCGCCGCCGCGGGATGCGCCCTGGGCAGCGCCGCTCCGCTCCGCGCGAGGGCGAGGGCGCCTCCCGGGGCGCCCGGTGGGGAGGCGCGCCGGCCGCCTTACCTGCTAGGCTGCCCGGTCGCTGCAGCGTGGCCGTGGCATAGAGCTCCTGGGAGTGCTTGCTGTACTGCTCGGGCGGGTGGACCAGCCGCTTGGTGGGCGAGAGGGTGGCGTAGGTGCCGATGGTGGAGCTGAGCTGGTGGATGGGCGAGGAGGAGAGGGTGGACTGGACGGTGGGCGGCGACGTGACCCGGATCGGCGAGGGCGAGAGCCCGGCCGAGGAGACGACGATGTTGATGGGCGAGCTGGTGCTGTAGGACTTGGCGAGGCGGCTGGGCGACTGCTTGGGGGAGGAGAGGCGCTGCGCCGCGCCGTAGCCGCCGGCGGCGCTGCTCTCGGAGGCCGAGCCCGCGCGCTGCAGCTTGGTCGGGGAGCCCACCTGCTGCATGGACAAGGGCGAGCTCACTCTCTGCGCCGGCAGCGTGGAGCTCGAGTAGTAGAGGGCCGGCGAGTGCTGCTGCTGCGGCGGCTGCGGCGGCGGCGGCTGCGCGGACGACGACGACGAGGAGTCCGGCAAGTGGAAGGCGCTCCCATGGCTCGGCGCGAAGGACTCCCGCGGCAGCGGCTGCGACGGCGCGGGCGGCGGCGGCGGCTCCGGGCCGGCGAGGTGGGCTGTCCGGCCGGCGGTGCCCTGCGGGGGGGGGGGGGCAGACAGAGAGAGAGAGACAGACAGACAGAGAGGCGGTCAGAGAGGCAGCGGCCACCCCCGCGGCCCCTCCGCCGCCGCCTCCGCCTCCGGAGCGCCGGGGAGGCGCTGGGCGCGCGCGCGCCCTTTCCCGGGTCGGGCCCGGGTGCCTCGAGGATTAAGCGCCTAATATTCGCTAAGCTGGGAGAATATTCCTTTGCAGGCAGGCGGGCGGGCGGGGGCTTCGGGCGGGGAGGGGCAGCGGCCAAGTAAGTCCAGGAGTCGAGCGCGGGCTGAGCAAGCCGCCTCCGCCGCCCCGTGCAACTTTCCCACGGAGGGAAGGCCGCCCGCGTGTGGTTGGCGGGGGGGGGGGGGGCCACGCCGTCGCCGGCTCGGGGTGGCGGGAGGCAGCGCAGCGCAGCGCAGGGCAGGGCAGCCCTCGGGCTCGCTCGCAGGCAGAGCGCGCGGGAGGGGCCCCGCAGCCAGTGGCCGGGCCGTGCGGGTTTGCCCTTCGCTCCTCATCGGCTCCACCCTCGCCAGAAGGGCTCCCGCGCGCAGGACTTCGTCGGCCGCCCTCCTGCTGCGGGAAAACAAGCATCCTAGCCAGGAGGCAGTGTTCACACATGCCAGAAGACAGGCCGCGCCTGCAGCAGTTAAAAGTCTTTTCTCTCGCTAGGAAACCTCGGGGTATCAGGGCGCTTGCAAGGAAAACGCCTGGCACCTGCAGCCAGCTACACTTCCCGTGATAAATTGGGTGGAAACCCTGGCAGTTAAATCGGAATCAAAGTATCACCTTCAAGAACTGTTTTACACATCAGACAACAAAGCTGCTACACAGCTGACAAGGATGGGTGAGAGTCCAGGCCTTTTTGGGTATTCAGTCACATATTAATTGCATGCATCCTTATGTATATATGGGAAGTATGATTGTTTTTTCATACATTAAAAATAAAATAATGTAATGGCCGATGCTTGAGTTTTTCATTGATTGTAAAAGGGATATTAATTTGTTTTAGCCTTCTAGTGCAAGTTATAGGATAGCTGACCAGAATTTCAAGAGTACAATTTCATAACATCCTAACGAAACATTCAGGGAAAGGGAAAGCAAAAGGTTGCCTATGTTGATTTAAGGGAACAATCTTATACATGTGGAGTCCCAAAACTCCAAGAATTCTTCTACTGGCATATCATTTGTCAGAGAGCTGTAGGGCTGTGTAAATATGCAGGGATTGTGTCCTTAGGGCACAAAAGTGGGAACTCTTGGTGCCATCATTTTAGGATACAGAGAGCGAGTGGATTCAGATCCAGTTAGTGACACTAGAGGTATTTTGCTTCCACCGAAAGTGGAAACTGCAGAGTGTGAAGGCTTGTGTGTGGGGAAATCCACCAAAAAGCCAGTTTCCTTGTGCATGAGCCATCCTTTTCACATGCACACACAGACACCCTCCCGCCCTCTCACACAGGAACCCTTTGCAGCTGTACCTTCCAGGGTGAAAAGCAGTTGCTGAAGAAAATGAGGGCAGGGGTGGAGTTGTGGAAAGGGTGGGCCCATCCTCTGGATCATGCCCAGACAGAAATTTGCATTTGAATAAAAAGAATACATTTTATTTTTTTTTATTAAAACATTTCTATGCCGCCCCATTCGCTGAAGCCTCGGGGCGGCTCACAACATAAGATAAAGTACAAAAATAAATATAAAAAAAATTGTGGGGCATATCTTCACAGGAGGTCTTAGATCTTCCTGCCAGATATTTTGGAAGTTTTCCCTAAATCTTGCAATTTTTTTTAAAGGAAGAAAGAAAAAGGAGGAGGGAGAGGGAGGGAGAGAAAATCCTCAGCAGATGCTCCCTATTAAAAATTTCAATTATGTGCCTGAGCCCCTTCTGGAACAGCGAAGAATAGAATGTACCTCTTATCTCTCAGCATAGACTGCATTCCAGTTTTTATCAGGGATCTTAGGCTAAGAGATCATCTGTAGCTGTTAATCTGGTAACATTAAAATCCTCTAATAACAGCACACTGGAAGGAGAGAGAGCTGAGCATTCTGTCAAAAGACACACTCTGATTTCAGATACATTTCTCAATCCTGGTCCCCCTTGCCGTTTGCTTTCCTGATCGTGCAGAGGATTTATCTGAACCATTAAAGAACGCCTGAAGTTGATGGTGTAGTAGGAGTTATTCCAGCCAGTACTTTCCTTACAGTGCGATGCCATGCCTGCTAGGACAAAGCAACTCCCAGCATCCCCCAGCCAGGTTGCTGCCTCATCCTTCCTCTGTGTTTCCCTTGTATTTGAAATAAGCCTTCCGCATTGTTCCCCACTTAGTGGATGCTTAAGCTCCGACTGTGGGAACTGTTTGCCCTCCTCCGCAAGCAGTGAGAGGGGCTGATTCTATTTGACAAGATTCAGAGCTCCCAGCTAGCCCGCTTCTCTTCCAAGTCCTCTTGGTAAGACAGCTTTCCCCATAAACACAGCAATCCTACTCTGCTAACGGGAGGGAGTCAGGGTGAGGCGGATGTGCCTTCCCACTGACTTCCAGGTTCCAGAACTCAGATGTCCGTGTGTGGGGAGAAATACCAGTCCCCTGCAGGGACAGGAAAGCTGCATGGTGCTGCTTCTACTGGTTGTAGGCTTCAAAATGGGGCCTTCCTTTATACCCGTGCTTTTCCCCCTTGTGAGCACCCCGAGGCAGCTTCCATAATTCCATGCTATCCTCACAACAACTCTGAGCAGGTCAGGCCGAGGAGGAGGGAGCGACTAGCCAAAAGTCACTCCGCGAGCTTCATGGCAAAGTGACTTGAACCGGGATCTCCCAGGTCCCCAGTCCAACACTCGCAACACCACCAGGTTCTCCCTTGGCTTGGGAGCTATGTCACACCACACTATGTTAGCTGTGGGGAGTTGGCACAGGTAATTTCCTCCCTGCAGAAATCAACAGGGAGAATTTTCCTTTAAAAGCCGCTGCAAAACTCTGCAGCAACATCTGCCCAACATGGGCCAGCAGGGCTTTGGAAGCGACAGCTCACCCGCCTCCCCACTCTTCTGATCTCCACTTTGGATTGCTCTGCAGGATACTTGTCTGTGCTGCAACAGCAGGAACCAGCCTACACAGGTGAGCCAAACAGGTGAGTGGGTGGACGCTCTGCAAACATTTTTGGTCAATGTAGAATATCACCCACTTCTTTTGCTGTTGTTTTAAAGATCGCTTTCAGAAGGGTTTTTCAAGGAGTGCCCTCACCCTTCCTGTCCCTGGGAATTGTTCAGAAAATTCAGATAAATCCTGGCAGAAAAGCGTTGCTTATATGTGCCTTTGTGTTATAAAATCAAACCTGCACCCCTTTCTCAGAAAGCACCCAAAATTCCAAGCCAGGTTACTGTTTAGCATTTGCTGTTACTTTAAGAAGTGGGACCTGGTGGCTTCCCCAAGAAGCTGCCAGGGCTATTTTTGCTGAACAGTTTAGGGTTGATAAGGCTGCCAGGTCCACTGCATTGCAATCACCCTCATTTGCATGCCCAGACCCACAATAATCCCTGTGCCTCAGTGATCCTTACGTTAATCTCCTGCAATCAAATGCCATTGTATTGAGCCTCCTCTACAGACCTCTCACCTTCTCCTGACTCTGTTCCCCTTATTTCATCATCATCTGCTCTGCTGCTGTGACTCAGAATCTATAAAACACTCTGTGTATGTTCTAACAACTTGTAGCTGGCAGTGAGAACCACTACCCGGTAGCATGATGGCATAAGTAACTGCAGGGGGCCTGGGTGATAAAACGCCGGAGTTCAAGGCGATTCAGTCTTCCCTGCGGTTCCTGGTTTGTTTGTTTGTTTGTTTGTTTATATGCCATCCCCTTGCTACATAGCCTCGGGAAGGCTCACAAAAGTAACAAATAAACAATTACAATTACAATTAAATCATTTACTAATTACTAATGGTAATTCATTCTTACCATTAGTAAAGAAAGTCTGACAGAAACAAGAGGATGTTTTCTGCATATCCTGCTTCTGGGTTTCTCATGGGCATCTGTCTGATAAAGCACAGAGGGAAAAGTATGGTGGACAAGACAGCCTGTCAGTTTGGCCCAGTGGTGTTCAGAGGTAGCACAGCTTACCCCATCGGTGCGGGTGTTCAAGGATAGGCTGCACGTGCACATGGTGGGCCTGTCGTGAGCGGAGCCGGCTGGTGCCGGAGGTCAGACTAGATGGCCTGGGAGACCCCTTCTGACTCGCTCTGTTTCTGTGTTTCTATGCTGACCCAACCATTCTCTGAAACTGTAGACGATTCCGTGATGCAAATAACTATCACCTTTGTAAGTTTTTGTCACCTGCTTTGGGAAGCAACTGACTTGCTGGTCTCCCCCAGTGAATCTTTTTTTACTACATTCGTACACCGTGGGAGACGGGTGGGGTGGGGAATCATTCTCAGGTGCAGATCTGAGAAATGGAAAATATTACCCAGGAGTTAACATTTCATTTTTTTAAAACCTCTGAAAATAGCTTGGCCTGTGGAAGGTGTCAAGAAGCCCTAACTGGAGATTTCAGCCTTCTGCTGCACTCGCAGGAAAATCTCTAGGCGATGCAGCGTGAGCCTTGATGTAGATAACTGGATCAGTCTACCAGCGATAAAATGTGTCAGTCGTTTAATTCCTTAGGAGCAAAATAAATGTGCGATTTCAGATGTCATGCTGTGGACACACAATTACTACCGCCAGCCTCTCTGCAATACACTGCATTATGCCCGGTGAATTAATTCAGGCCATCCCGTTAACAGTGTGAAGCAGGTATACCGCAAGCAAGCACATTCCCAGGCATTCCACTGCACACACTCCTGACTTTTTCATGCCATTATATATTACGCAACCAAGCTTTAAGGAAGATTACAAAACCACTCCGTAAATGAAGCAATACATGTATACATACAAAGGGCTAATCCTGTTCTGCGTCTGAGTCAGAAGCAAACATTCCCAGAGGCAGGAAAGGACACTGAAATTCCTTATCGGAAACAGT